TGCTTCACTTTATTTTCACACGTATGCATATGACAATGAGCGAGTGGAAGTTTTCTTTACATTTGGACCTGAGTATCAATATAAAGTTCACGCGATAGTGACCAACAATATTGTTTCATAAAAAAATTACACTAAACTTTACTGCAAATGAAGATAAAGAACTCCAATTCCGAAGTTAGTTCGTTTAACTTGTAAAAGTCTTTCTTTTGGATTATTCATGTCTATAACCACTTCAAAATTTAAGAATGAAAGTTTCAACTACATTTCAACGTTAGCGTCGACGCATTGATTAAAACTATAGCAAGTCATTCTATAATCTGATTGGAAACTACACTACACTACAATAAAGAAAAATGTAAGTAACAAGTATGGTATGCAACACATAGCACGTGCAGTAGTTCAATGTGTATAGGTCATGTATGATATTTCAAACATTATTTTACTAGTTTCGAAGTGAAATCAATACCTCGTGACTCAAAAATGCATCTGGTTATTTTAAACGTACGAGTGATGTTTCTACTCATTTTGTGTTCGTTTTGATTTATTCACGCCCATAACCACTTGAAAGTTTAAGGATAAAAGTTTGAACTACATTTTGTTGACACATTGCTTCAAACTATAGCGAGTTACTTTATAATTAGTTGGAAACTGTACTACACTACACTTAATAATAAAGAAAAACTTAAGTCACAAGTATGGTATGCAAAACATCGTATGTGTAGTCGTTCAATATATACAAGACATGTATAATGTCTCAAACACTGTTTTACTAGTTTTGAAGTGAAATCGATATCTTGTTACCCAAAATAACATATGATCGTTTTAAACGTATGGTTATCATTTAGGGTATAGGGTTTAGGGCTTAGAGTTTAGGGTTTAGGGTATATGGTTTAAATGTGTGGTTGTCGTTTAATTTTTCAACATTTATAGTCTTGGATGATATTCCAAACATTGTTTTACTAATTTTGGAGTGAAATCGAGACTTCCTAACATAAAACGGCATGTTATCGTTTTATACGTAGGAGTGCCATTTAGGAGGCAGAGTTTACAAAAACATAGCACTGTAATGTACAAATGAAATCGAGAACCTGTTACCCAAAGCACGTTATCATTTTAAAAGTATGACTGCCGTTTAGGTATACAAAACATAGCATATTCCAATATTTGTTTAGTAGTGAAATCGAGACCCAAATTGTGAGAAAATTACACTAGACTTTACTGCAAAAGATGATAAGGAACTCAAATTCCGTTATATTTTATTATGAGTTAAGATACTCAATAAATTAGCTTTTTTAACTTGTAAAAGTCTTTCTTGTCATTTCAAAACGACTAAGTGTCATTTCTTCTAATATCATGTCTATTTCTCTTTATTTTCACCTGTATTCACATGAAAATAAAGGAATGCAAGTTTTCGTTGCATTTGGAATGAAATCGAGATATTGTAAACCCATACGACATGTTGTCATTTTAAATAGCTGGGTGTCATTTCAACTAAATCTTTGTCCGTTTCACTTTATGTTCACACGTATCTTTATAAAAAAAAATGAAATCAATTATTTCCTATGTTTGAACATGTGTGAGTAACAACACACTTGTTTCTTGAGTAACTACACTACACTAAGTACAAAATTAACTCAAACTCTAATAACTGTAAATAAAAATTATAATTTGTGGATGACAATAACTAAAAAGTAAAAAGCAAGTTGTCTGGTTGTTGAATTTTCATTTTGAAAGTTTTGTTAACTAATGTGGAAAGTATTGGAGTGAAAATGATAATTTATTCATGTTAATCTCATTAAAATGGTAGGGTGCCGTTTTCAAAACCACGTAAACGGCATGGTATCATTTTCCCCTGCATGCATAATGAAGTTGCCTATTGCCACCTGATATATCTTAGAAACAACTTCACTTTTGCCAAATATGAATAGAGATACAGAACTTCATCATTTTTCTAACACAATACAATAAACATCATATTTATAAAGGATAAGATCACTTCTGCATTGCTAGATTTTTTTAAAATAATGGCATGAAAATGTATAAGCAAAAGTAACAACATTTTCTACTTCTAAACTGCGAGCCTTCATTCTTAATTTACTGCATCAAAGACAAACCACAACCTTCAAATTAGCAAAAACAAAAGATAAATCTAAATAAACATAAAAACAAAATGGCAGTATCATAGTACCAACGGCAAAGTTAACCAAGGATCTAATCCACTAAAACATGTAAACCTCTGAATAATTAAACTAGAATATCAGTTATCGAAGAGAAAGCTAAGACATAAAAGAATCACAGAGTGACAAAAAAATATTGAAATCCCGAAAAGGTCTAATCTCTCCTAAACATCAAAACACTAGAAAAATGTTTACAAAATCCTTTCTCGAAAAATGAGGTTGAACTAGGGGTTTACTGGCTTAGTATTCAATACGGTGTACCAGAAAATAAAGATTGCTATGATAATCTTACCATTAATATGACACATACAATTAACTTCATGGCCATTGTATAATTCCAGATGTCCAACAACTTTGAACCACCAACCTGTGATATTTTCATAAGAAATCAATGTTTCATTAATGGTTACATTTGGGATGTCTCATTGTGAAATACTTTCAAGAGATTTCTCATGGAACTGAAAAGGATTTTTAGGCTGACAATTGACTTAAATTTGTGGTTTAAAAGTCTTTATTTTCTTTCAAGGAAAATAAATGTTATGATGTAAAAATATGTCATAGAAACTCTTTCTCTTTTCTCCACTGAATCTCAATAAGATCATATGGCTTAAGATCATCTAAACAATCAGAAATATGAAGAACATTTGTAGGAGTATCAACTGTTGGTGGCCTTAATTTATTACATTCTATATTTTCCTCTATCATCTACTTTCCTTGCATCGAATGACTACAAAATTTATTGGAACTTCATAAGATTGTGGCATTTCTTAATCATTTGATCATAAAAAATAGAGGTGCAAATCACTGTTTAGAACACAAAGAAAACTACAAAAGAAGACGTGCCACAAAGTTGTCAGCTTTGGAATCATAGCAAACTTTAGCATCATAACATGAAGATAAATCAATATGCCCATTCCGCCCTTTAAAATATTAAGTCGTATGCTTGGCACACAATATTAGCTAGTTTTAAAGAGTCAAACAATCATACACACATCGAGAAAATTACCTCGCGATTATACACTTGAGTTGGGAACTAAAATTTTCTGATTTCAAGAGCCATATAGCAAGACATGATTGACTTTTCTTGTTTTGAACTTCTCGACTTGCTATCTCCCACCTCCATCTTTCATCCATTCAGAACAAGATTAATAATAAAACATGAAAAAACTCTGAAATGGGCTTTTGTACATTGTAGGACCACCAGTTATTCTTGAATCATTCTGGCATTCCTATTCTGTATATGAAGCACCACCAACTAGTCTTTCCCATTTTTGATTCATATATTCTTCTATAAATGATCACTTTTACACTTTTCTCTCAAATTCTTACACACTTCTGCCATACTACACATCCCAGTAGGTGAAAGATTTTCAAGAATGTATATTGCTTTTCACTACGTAAACAAATCAAATCGCTACGTCCTCAAAAGACAAAGTAAAAAATTGCAGTCATTGCTTTATATGAAGGAAAACATCACATACAGACATAGAAGCAAAGCAAATCTTATGTACAAGAAAAAAGGGGTTCTAAAGTTCAAAACATTGGTTACTTGAATGTCTGTTCGCAACAGTGATTGTTTGAGTTGATGATATTCACGACGGTGGTAGTTAGAACTACCTGGTTAGATGAAGAAGATATGACAGAATAGAAGGAGATGACGAAGGATTCTGGAGTGGTGGCGTTCCAAATGGGAAGAGACGATGGTGGCATTGGATAGAGAAGAGAATGATCGGAAGGGTTGCAAACAATTTGGGAAAGGGGGAAGGGAAATTTTCTGTTATGTTGAGGGAGGGTAATTTAGGTAATTTATTAATTTGGAATTAATATATTTATTTTAAAATTTTTATTCCGGTCAAAGGCTAAAAATGCAAAGTGTATTGTGAAAGAGTCTATTTCACCCAATTTCCAATTTTTCAACTAGGCCCTGAATTCATGTTTTTGTCCATCTATGTCGTGCTTCTAAACTTGAATGTGAATTCCTCGTTATTTTACATTTTCCTTCCATATGAGTGGTAGTTTAATCAAATTTTGTGCGTGAAATCTTATCTCAATTCCAGAATTTCTTCGATTAAATTATGAAATAGTGCCACAAAGTCAACATATTAAAAAAGGGTTCCCGAGTAAATATGTTACCATACTGGTCCAATGTATGTGGCTGGGAATCATTTCAACTTTCAACTTTCAACTAGGTAATTCTCCTTATGATTACCATTCTCGCGTACTGAAAACCGAATTAATCAGATCCGGTCCACATAAGAGTACAACCCTGCCTGGGGACTGACTGATTGGCCCAATTAATTGTAATACCTAGCTAGGAATAAAAATCGAAATTTATGGACACAACAAAACTCAGGGGCCATCCATATCCAGAAACTCATCTATCCAAGTAATTCTATACACCACAAGGTGATTGCTGCAAAGCTACAAAAAGAACATGAAGGGAAAGACGAGAAACTCAAAAAACTGCTTGATCACTAGGAACCGCTTCTTTAACCATCGGAACATTTATTAGTGACCCATGCTTCCCCAGGGCTGGAATGCTATGAGAACGTTTTCTCAACCTGGTATTGCCATGATGTGGCATTCTGCTCTCGGTTTTCAATCTGCGGTGATATGGAAAAGCACCAGACAATGCATCCGATAATGGTTCACTTTTGGTTCTCATGAAAAGGTCAAGATTTTGTTGGTACTTATCCCCATTAATGACGTTAACAGAGAATTCCCAACATATCAGCCATGGGCAGAAGCAACTTGCAAGTTTTGCATCGCCATTTACCTGGGAGCTACGACATTCAAACTAAAAGGTACTTCATAGAATCTCATATGTATCTGCTAATCAAAACATTCTCATACCAAGAGAAGAATTTACTCCACTTCGTTCAAGATGGAAAAAAAATCATGAATGCTACGTTTTGTGAATTTTTTGAATAAACTGATGACAAATCCTTACCTCTTCTTGGTTCTGTTTTCGCCCATCACTAAGATCCTCATCACTGTCTATCTCAGGCGGTTCATCAACATCTTCATCACTACCATGCACTGAGTTTTCTTCCTTGAGCTGCAAAAAACAGGGAGACCAAAAAGTTAAAAGGAGAAAAATTTAGAAAAAACGCAGATAAAATAAATTAATACAAAAAGACTGATCAGAGCTGCAATATGACGTGATTTTAGAAGTTGATTGAAACTTCCATTTAACCCGGGCTGGTATCCAATCATTATAATTCCATCTGTTGCTTAAGATATAATAAACAAGAAAACGGATTTTCTAACTTCTCCACTATAAAGACAAATCATTGATTAAAACCCACCTCCTTTGCATGCCCTTCTGAGAACCTTGGTGAACTGCAGCAGGACGAATAATATTTACTACCATTGTCAGTCTGGTAACCCTTTGACTCATCCACACTACTGGCATGACTAGTACCCCCAGTATCACTGGGCCAAGCACTGATCCCAAAGTTACCGAACTGCAAGTTGACAGATTCAGCTCTATCTATCTGCAATGGTCCATAGGCAGGTGTTCCTACTCCGTTCTCAATAGGCCGGCCCACAATTGGCTTGCCATTTTCATCAATTATGTTAACTGGCCAAGCCTTAGCCACAGATCCATCGTCATTCAAAAGTGCCATCAAATGCCGGCTAGAACCTTTCCTTTGGATCAACTGAAACATTCCCTTGGAACTCAAGGAATTGGCAGCACGCTGATTTCTGTACTCCTCATCAACAACAGTAACTCTGTTTGTGATCGGATCATACAGCTGGTCTCCTGCCTCACGCCTCCTTAGGCAGCTAAAAACTGTTGCATGAATGGCTGCCACACTTTTATCAACATTTGTGTTGTTTATTTTTGGCACCAAATGCTTATCAGCTCGGTTGCAGAGATATTCTTGAATTGTTCTGATGTTTCGTATATATTTAACATACTTGTTTTTAGCAGGATCTAAAGTCATGTACTTAGCACGGACTGCAAATCTTTCCAGGTGTTTCTCCTCATTCGAAATATAAATCATGAAAGGTATGATTGAAGGATGTTTTTTCATAAGCCCCATCTGCATGGGAAAATTGAATTAAGACTAAAAAGCTGATAATGTGCGGTGAAAGATACTTAATATTTGATGTAAAAGTTTCTCAAATGTAAGGCCATATTGATTTTTACCACAAAATTGAGACTTAAATGAACGCCCTCCACCACCACTGATTCTTTCCGTTCTTCCCATGCAGTAATCAACCGATCAAGACTGTCAATTACCATCTCACTTTGCGCTTTAAAACCTTCAATTGCCATCTGCTTTGGACTGATCAAACCAACAGTGGTGGAACATGCGTCAATTGGTGATTTTCCAACTGTAGAACCATCAGATACATCAGTCCTAGCTAGTGAAGAGGTTGAAACACCGGTTAATTTCTTTTCTTTCCTTTTGGCCTTAGCTTCTGCAACAGCTACAGGATCTAAATATTCTCCTGCGTGGTAAGTTGAAGCCCACAATAGTGGATTTTGTTTTTCATCTACAAAGCTCCTCATCATATGCCTGATTGAGTCAGTAGATAATACAGTTGTAATACCCAACCTGCTACCCTACAAAAACAATAAAGACTCAAACTAAATTTTTTTTTGGACATGGACTTAAAGGGGATTACTGCTACATATCACCAAAATTTTATATCATTGCCACGTCTATTGCAAGGAATACAACCATGTTATTTGGGTAGGGATGCATCATCACGGTGGAATAGATCGTTTTTAAAAAAGTAACAAATACTAATCAAACTCATTTACCACATTTTGAAACTAACATTTTACAACTGAGATAAAATGCAATGTTACCGTGCCTTGATGCCTTGATCTCTTAGTTGAATTGTTACATATACTAAAGCAAAGAAATAGCCAACTAAACCTAAACCAGCATTGAAACAATTGAAAGAACTTGCCATATATAGTGCATAACAAATAAATGCAAATATATACTGTATTAAAAGATCACCAATGCAATCATAATCTTGACACCCGTGTTCACAACTGCAACAAACCAAAAACTCATAGACCAAAACCACAAAATTTAATTGTTATAATAGACAAAACTCCAGAAACCAGATACAACAAAAATGGGAAATCAGCGACAGACGGAGAAACTTACAAGCAAAGCAGACAAAGTAGATTTGCCACAGCCACTTGTGCCGCACAATAGTACAGTAACAGATTCCTTTCGTTCTCGGATTCTGAAATAATCACATAACATCATGCAAAAGTAGCAATAAAAGAATAAAGCACAAAACCAACCTCCACACAGTATGTAACAAGTACCAAGAAACAGATTGCAACAACAAAGTGATGTTGGAATTCGGAAAGTGCAAGTGACAAATTCTCACAAGTCAAAAAGTAGAACACATTCTCCGTAAGAGAATTCACACTTTGTAAATAACAAGAACCTATCATTTTGCTTTTCCCTTTTCCTTTTTTTGGGTACATGTATGCATCCGTTCAATTCATAATAAAGCAAGCTGAATCATACCACGAGAATAACTATATAAGTTCTTCAAAAAGATCAAATGAAGGAACAACCTTAAAAAGAACATGCGTTAGTAAATAATAACCTTTTCAATAACAGTCATTAGTTCCACAAGAAACTCTGATAAGGAATCCATCACAAGTACTTTAGGCATACCTCAGATGATGATCCTACCTACGATATCTATAGTGAATAAGTCGCAGGCGGAAGATCCCTTAGAAAACTGGCTTTGGCCAATTTGTATTCTTTGACCTTTGTTTTGTGCATTTTGCTATGGTTGTTCCATATTGTCCGCATTTTTAGGAGAGATACGCAGCATAATAACCAATTGGTGCTCCTTAATTTTGCTTTCGGTTTTGGTTGTTTTTTAGGCAACACTTGTTTACGTTCTGGAATCCATCACAAGTACTTTAGGCATACCTCAGATGATGATCCTACCTACGATATCTATAGTGAATAAGTCGCAGGCGGAAGATCCCTTAGAAAACTGGCTTTGGCCAATTTGTATTCTTTGACCTTTGTTTTGTGCATTTTGCTAATGGTTGTTCCATATTGTCCGCATTTTTAGGACAGATACGCAGCATAATAACCAATTGGTGCTCCTTAATTTTGCTTTCGGTTTTGGTTGTTTTTTAGGCAACACTTGTTTACGTTCGTGTCCATAGGTTGCATCATTTAGTTGGCATATGTGGGTTTTTGTTCATATAGGTTGCTCCTTTTGTTCATATAGGTTGCTCCTACGTGCTTGTTATATGGGTGTATTTGTCATTTATTTTGAAATGTTTTGATCTCTTGGGCCATTCTAGCTCTCTGATACTGTGTGTCAGATATTTTTGTAATCAGAATGGTACCCTCAACATTATGATTTCTACGGAGTTCTATATAATTTCAGTAGAAATACCAAGTTTATAATTTTATGCAAGTTCTCTTTCTTCCTCTTTTGTACCTTTGGAGGCAAGTTTGCTACACATCCCCCACTTCGTACAAATTTTTTAATCAACAGTCGAGTTATGGTTCAACGCCGAACTCCCAAATATATTTTGGGAAAAAAATTAAAAATAGAAAAAGTTTCATTAGTTCTTTTATACTTACTGGCCTTTAAAATTACTTGCGCAGAACTCATAAGGTATCTGATTTGTTTTGTCTTAAATCACGGCCTAGAATGCTGAAAAAGAAGGCATTCATATTTACAGATTAGTTGTTCCAAAGTTTTTGACATGAATACCCAGCACTCTCCTCAAGTAAGGATAAAATAAGACATGATATTAGTATAGGAAATTCACACAGAGCATCAGAAAAAACAATTCTTAGCGTTGCCGCGCTATTGACTCTTGTCAGCAAACTCGAGGGTATGTCAGAAGTCAGAACAAGTCCAGCGTGAACCCCTCCTATTAATTCGCTATAAGTGATGAGTTTAATCAACATTAAATTGTCACTCAATTTCTCATCAAGCTTGTGCTGGAAATACAACTACAGTTAAAAGATAAACTACAACAAGAAAACAACAATTTGATCCTATAAGTTAGACAGAAAGATGTTCCTTTTCAGATTAAGAGCGTTTAATGTCCAGATTAAAGTCAAACTCAATTCAAAATGAGAACAAGACGCTGACAGTACCTGCAAGCCATAGCCAAATCAGCCCTTTGATCTGGGCCCACATACTTGTACTCTGCAAGAGCTTCAGAAGCAACATCTAGGAAATTTTTTCTCCTGATAACTGCAGTGGTGCGTATTTTGTACAACTCAAACGGTTTGCTCTTATTCTTTTCTTCCTCTGAAACTAAATGATCAACAAGATCTGCTTTATCCAAGCAGGTGTCAGCATAATACTCTACCTCCCTCTGGGTATATATTTTAGCATCCTGCTGTGAGACTTCTTCACATGTTGAAACCAACTTATCTGCCAGGCATTCACTTCTCACCATTTCAAATATTCTCCGGCTAATCTGTATAAAACAGGAATTTCAGGATAACGTCAGAAAGATCATTGATGGATTACCAAAACATGTGCCAAAAAACAGACTTAAAAAGGAAATTACAAAAGAAGGAAAAATAACAAAGACACCTGGACTTAATTTGAAACCAAAGCATGATTTTAAATGCAGGCATTTTGACGTGCTCCAACATATATGTAGATTGGTCACATGAATTCAGAGCATATTTCCTAATTCTATATATTACAAAGCATCTTCATTAGGATTGGATCACCAAAACTCTGACTCATGAAAATCCAGAACCATGCCAATAATAGCATATTAAGCGTTATAGGTTTTTATATGTTCATTGACTTGGCCAATGAAGACATCAATTTTTTGAATGCAAATCACTACAATTCCAATTGCTAAGCCATATTATTAATTCATAAATACTAAAGCAATCATATCAATGATACATGTACAATTGATATATGGAATGTCAGATCCGCCGAATATACCAATGGTCATAACCACAAGAAATATAATGGACATCACATCCATCCATAACACATTTTGAGGACTGGTCCATTTTGGTAATTCTTAACACGTTATAACTAAAAAAGAAGTGCATAACGCGTCGTAAATAAGAACATCATGTCAACACTACAACCAAGATTCTCTGTTCAATCAAAGATCTCAAATTCCTGATTTCAGGAAAAAAATGTATATCAAATTCCTTAGGTCATTTCTTAATCTGATTATTCATTTCACTCACGCCCACAAATATGGACAATCATACGCAAGTATCTGCACATATGCGAGCACACACTCTGTCTGTAGTTTTCAGGCGACGCATGTGGACAAAGAGAGACGCTATTCTGTAAGTTTGTTAAATTTGGAAAGAAGATTTAAAATATCTTTTTATGCAATAAGGAGGGGAAAAAAGACCTTAAAGGCGTGACGAGCCTTGCATCCCATGAGTTGCAAAGTGCTCTGTAGAACGGAACGCGTGTATCGAAACGAAGTATCCTTCTCCGTTTCCGCATCATCCTCTACCACGATTATGTACAACAGCTTCGCCACACCCATCCCCTCCGCCACCGCCATTCTTCCACCTAATTCAACCAACCGAACATGCAAAAACAAAATAAACTCATCATCCAATTCATAATCATTCATGATTCAAATCTGAAATCCAAAATCAATTCTTATTATCAAAATGCAGGTAGAAAATCGCACCTGTAGAAGACAGTCTCCAGAATAGAGCTATCCAGATAGAGTTTTAGTAATAATTGTAGAGAAATCGATGAAAATGAGGAACTATGGAAAGGAGGAGGATAAGATTGTTCCGAGGCGATCTGGCCATTTGCACCGCCACCCGCTTCCACGCATCGCAGCTTCTATGCCTCCACGAAAAAGTAGTCAGCCCCCCCGCACCCCCGGTCTCTAAACAAGGACGAGGCTAATTGAAATGACGATTTTGGGGCCTAATTTGGAGGATAATTACTTATGAGAATGATGGCAAGTTTAGTAATTTCGAAAAAACATGGTATCAATTACTTTGTTTGACCACTTATCTTTGGTCGGGGGTCATATTAATATTAAGAAGTAAAAACATTGAAAAGGCTAATTAAGAAATTATTAAAGGGTTCTCCTACTAATATTACTATTTAGAGCACTTAAGTCCTCAATCAATATTTTTTATAATTTTCAGATCTTAAAACTTTTAATTTCAGTTCAATTTAAGTACATATTAAACTAAAATAGTCAAATATCTCATAAAATAAAAAATATATATACATATAGTTATGTGGAAAAAGTCTTGTTTACATGTTACAAATCTAATTTAGNTCAAATATCTCATAAAATAAAAAATATATATACATATAGTTATGTGGAAAAAGTCTTGTTTACATGTTACAAATCTAATTTAGGGGAAACCCAAAAAATATTGATTTATTGTTACGTCTATTCAAACTTAACAATATAAAACCAAAAAAAAAATAAATGAAGCCCTTGTGGTTGATATTATTTTATTGGTCGGCAAATATTTTATGGGCCCATGCGAAAGGAAAAGAGAAAAGATTCATGGGACAATTTATTTTGTAGGCCGCCACAATCCGACTGAATACGACACGGGGAATAAGGACTCGCGTGCAAATACATTTTTGAATAAAAACGAAAAATTAAAATATAGGCATGGCAACACGGTTACGGCGGCCATTCTTATCCATCTTCAGTCAAATATTTTTGTCTTTTTGTCCCGCTTCTATACCCAATTAAGATGGGGCAAGACAGCGGTATGTCACGACTCGCTCGATCTTGGCATAAGAAGATCAAAAAATTTAAAATGTTGACGACTTGGGGCTAACCGGAATATTCTAGACTCCTACAAGTGCATGAAGATTGCTAGAATATGGTGGGACATTCTAGAAGCCTACAAGCCCCTCACTTGGTGGATTATTCTAGATCATCCTAATTTAGTTCATAGATATTTTAATGTAGATATTTGTATAGATAATTCTAGATGTGTAATCTAGACCGTTGGATAGAAAAGATCCTAGCCATCCATTTGAGGAGGCTACTACTATAAATAGGTTGGTAGGATTCATTTGAAGGATCAAGAGAGTGAAGTTGTAAAGAGTACCCTTATTCAATACAAAGCCTTCTTTGTAAGCTCTTGTGTTCCTTCATTGTCCCTTTCTTAAAGTGTTCTACTTAGTGCCTTTCTAAGACATCAACGCCAATCGGGAGGCTGACTTAGTGTAATAATCGCGGGGGCGGAAGTTGAAGACACTAAGGCCGCACGGTGCTTGGAGGAAATTAGCAAGTTCGTGACAGTTGGTATCAGAGCCAGGTTTGCTCACTTACTATCGTTGGCATGGCGGAAAAAGATGTTGTGAGATCCGGCATTTCGGAAGTAGAACATGATGAGCGGGGTCGAGAGGTCGAACCCCAAACCACGAGTAAGAAAACTCGACAAACTCGAAGTAAGAGCCGACCACCAGCCCCTACCGGTGGATCTCTTGAGGAAGTATTTCTCAATATGGGGGAACGCATTGAAGTAGTGGAGAATTCACTCTCAACCCTTGAAGCTCACACCTTGGAACAACTTGATGATCTCAAGGAAGACCAAGGCGCTTTAAGGGAAGAATATACGAGGTTGGAGGTTAAGGTCATGGATGCTGTCAAAGCGATCCAAGACCAAGTGAACAAGCTTTGCGCGGATATGCAAAGTGGCCTAGACGCTTGTAAGAAGGCGTCAACCAGTGCGGGTACTAGCACGATGCTAGCGGCTCCAAGGATCGACTATCCAAAGCCTAGGGAGTTCGATGAAAAGCGAGATGCAAAAGAGCTAGATGATTTCCTATGGCGATTGAAAATATATTTTGAGGGCGTGAACATTTTGGATGAAGCTATTAAGGTACGTACTTCGACTATGTATCTTACGGACACCGCGGCTCTATGGTGGCGACATAAGCACGCCGACATAGAAAAGGGTGCTTGTAGGATAGATAATTGGGATGATTTCAAGAAGGAATTGAAACGCCAATTTTATCCCGAAAATGTAGTATATGAGGCCCGTAAAAAGCTTAGGGAGTTGAAACATAAGGGCACTATTCGTGATTATGTCAAAGAGTTTACTACCCTTGTGTTTCAAATCCCGAGCATGTCAGATGAAGATCTATTGTTTCACTTTACCGACGGATTGCAAAATTGGGCGAAGCAAGAACTTCAACGTCGGGGAGTGAAGACAGTAGACGAGACTATTGTGGTGGCCGAATCTTTAACCGAGTTCCAAAGGAGCACGGATTCATCAAAATCTTCTAAAAGCTTTAAGAGTAACTCGGCTAAAGGCGGGGGAGAGAAGAAAGATTACCATAAGTCATCATTCTTCAAAGGTGGTAACACTTACAAACCTTCCCTCTCGCGAAAAAATTATGAGGAAAAGAAGAAGGTCTCGACGGGTTCTCAAAGTGGATGCTTCGTGTGCAAGGGGTCACATTTAATGCGTGATTGCCCTAAACTTGGCACATTGGCGGCTATGGCAGAGGAACGGGATTCATCCTCTCGCCAAGATCAAAGGACGGAACATTTTAGTTCATTGCAACTTCTTAACGCTCTCAATGCTAAGGTCGTCTCGGCTTCTAATAATGAACGAGAATTAATGTATGTGGAAGCTCAAGTAAATAGTCGGCCCGCACTAGCAATGGTGGATACGGGAGCTACCAACAACTTCATTACTGAAGATGAGGCTAGAAGGTTGGGCTTCACAATCACCAAAGGTGGTGGTCTTATGAAAGCTGTGAATTCTCCATCCACGCCCCTTGGTGGCATAGTTCGAGGAGTGGAAATTCAATTAGGCACTTGGCATGGCCAAGTGGATTTTTCGGTGGCTACAATGGATGATTTTCGCTTGGTTCTCGGGTTGGATTTCATGAGGAAGGTCAATGCTATTCCTATGCCTTCCTTTGGCTCGGTTTGCATCTTGGAGAGGGGTTCTCCATGCATGGTTCCTACGGTAGCTAAGACGAAAGCAATAGGGCAGCTTTCGGCCATGCAACTAGCAAAAGGGCTAAAGAAAGGAGAGGCGACGTATTTGGCAGCCTTAAAAATGGAGGACCAAGTTGAGGAAGTTGTGGGTGACGATAGTGTGCCCGAAGTCATCAAGAATGTCCTTGAAGAAAATAAGGACGTGATGCCGCCGGAGTTACCCAAGAAATTACCACCTAGGAGGGAGGTGGATCATAAGATTGAGTTGGAATCGGGTGCCAAACCACCATCCATGGCACCCTATCGGATGGCACCGCCGGAGCTGGAAGAACTTCGAAAGCAATTGACGGAGTTGCTTGACACAGGGAGGATACGACCTTCGAAGGCACCTTATGGCGCTCCGGTCTTGTTTCAAAAGAAGCATGATGGATCGTTACGCATGTGTGTAGATTACCGTGCACTCAACAAGGTAACATTAAAAACAAGTATCCTATTCTTTTGATTGCTGATTTATTTGATAGACTTGGTAGTGCAAAATATTACACAAAGGTGGATCTACAAAAGGGATATTACCAAGTACAGATTGCAGAAGGGGATGAGCCTAAGACAACATGCATCACTCGATATGGCTCATTCGAATGGTTGGTAATGCCTTTTGGCTTAACCAACGCCCCGGCCACATTTTGCACATTGATGAATAGGATTTTCCAACCTTACTTGGACAAGTTCGTGGTGGTATACTTGGATGACATTGTCATCTATAGCGATAACTTGGAGGATCACGCAAAACATCTCCGAACGGTGTTCCAAACATTGCGGGAGAATGAGCTATACATCAAAAAGGAGAAATGTTCCTTTGCCAAGGAGGAGGTGCACTTCCTTGGACATATCATTGGCCACGGGCGCTTGAAGATGGATGAGGCAAAAGTAAAAGCAATCAAGGAGCGGGAAGCACCAACCAAGGTAACCGAACTTCGTTCTTTCCTTGGTCTAGTTAATTATTATCGGCGGTTCATCCAAGGCTACTCGGTGAGGGCAGCCCCACTAACGGACCTATTGAAAAAGAATAAGACATGGGATTGGTCCGAGAAATGTCAAACGGCCTTTGATGATTTGAAGGCGGCCGTGATGGAGGAACCGGTCTTGGCATTGTCGAATTTCACCAAGACCTTTGAAGTACAAACAGATGCCTCAGACTTTGCTATCGGGGGTGTCCTAATGCAAGAAAGGCATCCTATTGCTTTTGAAAGTCGTAAGCTCAACGACACTGAGCGTCGGTATACGGTGCAAGAAAAGGAGATGACGGCTATTGTTCATTGCCTACGAGTGTGGCGTCATTACTTGTTGGGCTCAAAATTCATCATCAAGACGGATAATGTCGCTACTAGTTATTTCCAATCACAAAAGAAGCTGACTCCCAAGCAAGCACGTTGGCAAGATTACTTAGCGGAGTTTGACTATGTGATGGAATACAAGCCGGGGAAGGTGAATGTTGTAGCCTATGCGTTAAGCAGGAAGGCGGAGCTTGCAGCCATAAGCCAAGCCAAAGGGACGTTGCTTGATTTGATTCGGGAAGGCATGGATCATGATCCCTTGGCTAAGGAGTTGGTAAAAGCTGCCCAAGAAGGAAAGACGCGACGGTTTTAGGTCGAGGACGGCTTACTCTACACTACGGGGCAGCGTATCTATGTTCCTAAGTGGAACAATTTGTGGCGAGATATCATCAAGGAGTGCCATGATACAAAATGGGCTGGTCATCCAGGGCAGAAACGCACATTGACACTACTTGAATGAGCTTACTATTGGCCGCAAATGAAAGACATGGTGGTGCTCTATGTAAAGACTTGTCTTGTGTGCCAACAAGACAAGGTGGAAACAAGGTCACCAGCGGGTTTGTTGGAGCCTCTACCAGTCCCGGAGCGTCCATAGGACTCTATCACCATGGACTTCATTAGTGCCCTGCCTAAATCCGAAGGGTTTGGGTCAATAATGGTGGTGGTTGATCTTATGGCACCTTCATTCCTGTCACCAAGGATTGCACAGCGAAGGAAGCCGCAAGGCTATTCTTCAAGAATGTTGTGAAGTATTGGGGGTTACCGCGGAGCATAATAAGTGATCGTGATCCCCGATTCACGGGTCGGCTATGGACGGAGTTGTTCAAACTCCTAGGCTCGGACCTACACTTCTCTACAAGCTTTCACCCTCAGACGGATGGACAAACAAAAAGGGTGAATGCTTTGTTGGAGTGCTATCTCCGGCACTTTGTGAGTGCCAATCAGAGAGATTGGGCCAAGCTCCTGGATATTGCACAATTTTCCTACAATTTACAAAGGAGTGAAGCCACGGGGAGAAGTCCATTCGAGTTGGTGACAGGACAACAACCACTAACACCCCACACTTTGTCCACTTCTATTGACGGAGGGAAAAGCCCCGGGGCATACAAAATGGCTAAGTCATGGGAAGAGTATGCCGACTTAGCACGATCTTGTTTAAACAAAGTCCGGAGGCGCATGAAGAAGTGGGCCGATAAGAAGAGACGGCCTTTGGAATTTAAAGTTGGCGACCAAGTCCTTGTGAAAATATTACCTCAACAATTCAAGGCATACCGAAGTGTGCACAAAGGCTTGGTACGGAGATATGAAGGGTCGTTCCCGGTGATAGCTAAGGTTGGCAAGGTATCTTATCGCCTTGACCTACCTAGCACTTTAAAGATTCATCCCGTCTTCCATGTGAGCATGTTGAAGCCATATCATGAAAACATGGAAGACCCTAGCCGAGGGGAGTCACAACGGGCACCTCCGATTGTGACTAAGTCATTTGACAAGGAGGTTGATGAGGTTCTAGCAGATCGCATTGTTCGAAGGCGTGGAGTGCCTCCTTGCCAACAATTTTTGATAAAGTGGAAGGGATTGCCCGAGTCCGAAGCAACGTGGGAAAGTCAAGAAGACTTGTGGCAGTTCGAAGACAAACTAAAGCATTACGCGGCGACGAAGGCGTCGCCCAAATAGGCAGGGGAGGATGTCACGACTCGCTCGATTTTGGCACAAGAAGATCGAGAAATTTAAAATGTTGACGACTTGGGGCTAACCGGAATATTCTAGACTCCTACAAGTGCATGAAGATTGCTAGAATATGGTGGGACATTCTAGAAGCCTACAAGCCCCTCACTTGGTGGATTATTCTAGATCATCCTAGTTTAGTCCATAGATATTTTAATGTAGATATTTGTATAGATAATTCTAGATGTGTAATCTAGACCGTTGGATAGAAAAGATCTTAACCATCCATTTGAGGAGGCTATTACTATAAATAGGTTGGTAGGATTCATTTGAAGGATCAAGAGAGTGAAGTTATAAAGAGTACCCTTATTCAATACAAAGCCTTCTTTGTAAGCTCTTGTGTTCCTTCATTGTCCCTTTCTTAAAGTGTTCTACTTAGTGCCTTTCTAAGACATCAACGCCAATCGGGAGGCTGACTTAGTGTAATAACCGCGGGGGCGGAAGTTGAAGACACTAAGGCCGCACGGTGCTTGGAGGAAATTAGCAAGTCCGTGACAGGTAGCCAGTGGCGAATCCAGGGCTGAAAGTCAGCTAGGGCGGACGTCAACCATTAACCATTGATCGTTGACTCAACGATCGTAATAGTGATGTCGTTTATTAAAAAATATAGATTCCTAAATCTAAATTCCCGTTGACTCCACGATGTAATAGCATTTCATTTACTTTTCCTCTATTCCCTTGTGTACAAACTACAAACATATGCACACACACAAACAAGATAAATTTAGTGAATCACAACCGTTGACTCAACCATTTTCTCCATTAATTTTGTCACTTATCCCTAATTTCCTAAATCTAAATTCCCAAATCACAAATCATTAATCATTAACCATAAATTATAACTCATGCAAAAACTAATTATAACTCACAGAACAAAAACTATAAAAAAAAAAAAAGGACAAACAGAGAAATATAGCCTAGTAGCCGACAGGGAAAATGGCGCTCACTAGTCACCAAGAAATCGGTCGACCACCAGTCTACTATCCACCACACAAGAACAGTCCACACCACTTGCTCCTCGTTGATTATCGTCACTCGTCATAGACCACAGTGTGCGTATTGCCTCTGCTCATCTTCACCAACGTTAGTCCGCCACTGCCTTAACTTCATTTCAATTGTGGATTGGTCATTTGGTTTTGGTGGAAATATATCCATGGTCTAGAGATTCCAATCCAGCCGTCCAAGGACTAGGGCCATTAATTGGGCCTTTTTTTTTAAAGGCCCATCCCTCTTTGACCAAAAATTGGAAAAAAAAAAAGAAAAGAAAAAAAAAGTTAGACCCAAACCAACAGGCAGTGCACCAGTCATCTTCTTCACTCTTTCCAATCCTCTCCTTTCTTCCACTGCAACTGACGCCCGCTCTTTGACCCAAAAATGGAAAAACTAAAATAAAAAAAAAAAAAGAAAAAAAAAAGTTAGACCCAATCCATACCAACAGGCAGTGCAACAGTCATCTTCTTCACTCATTCCGATCCTCTCCTTTCTTCCATCGCAACTGGCGCCTGGCGACTGAAAGTTCGGCGGAGTCCAACACGCGCGGCCGCGCCCCCTCGCCGGGTGCTGGCTCCGTCGCTGGAGGTAGCCCGTAGGGTCTACCTCGTTTATCGTGCCATTTATTTTCGAAACCCTCGGAGAGAGGAATCGAACATCTTTCAGGGAAGATATCCACTTTGTTTATTATTGGTACACTCATTAAAAATAGGATTGGTTGCAATTTGACTAGCGCGGAATTCTTATGTTCAATTCCAAATGGGTGCACGCCAATGGAACACTCCAATAAGTCTATTGATTTTTTTTTTAATTTTAATTTTTTAAAATGTTTTAAACATGTGAAATTGTTAATTTTTTTCTCAAATGGTAGAAAAAATCATATTTCCTATAGAAAATGATGATTTTTAAATTTTTTTTTGGGATAGAAAATTTATTTTTTGAAATGAATTATAAACGAGATAGGTAACGAGTTGGGTACCATGTTTTTCGTACCCCTCCTACTCCCTGTCTCAAGGCAACAACACCATCCTCTATACTCGATTAAGCGAGAAATTCCCACCTAGTTTGGAGCGGTGCTCCCATAGATATCAAGTACAACAAATTTTATTGTCATCCCTAAAGGAATCTGTCACAATATTATTCTAAAAACTTGCGCGTTATTTGTCAAAAAATGATGTGTCTTCTATGTAGGTAGACTCTTGATAGAAGTGTAATAATTTAAAGTCCCATAATGCTTTAACGTGTTTGTTTCAAATAAAAAAAGAATAAAAGAGAAAGCAAAAGAAAAAGGACATCTCCCAATGCTTAAAGCAAGGTATCGAAGAATTATTCTAGAAGTACATAACCTCCTACATAATGGTGTCCATTGGCCAAGCGCCCCCCTATTGGAGGGGTGCCTGTGCCCCTCCAATAAGGGGTGTCGAGTGTTCAGTGTCCTTATATCTCCCTTTATGTGCCTCTAGAATAACCCGATATCGAATATGAATGAAATATTTTGAATATATATTATTTGATCAGGAGCTCTAAAAATGGGGGAATTTAACAGCAAAATATGCTGAAATGGGTGTGAATTTAAAGAAAAAAATTATTAATTACATCGTCGTCATTAGGAAATTACAATTTTGTACTTTTTTTCTTTCAAAAATTTAAACAAATAATAATTTTCATTAAAGATTCTATTAATAGATTAACCCTGTTTGGTAGAAATTAAAATTAAGATTTTAATTCAAGTCAAAGTCAACAATTAATTTTAATCATACATTTTATGAAATTCACAACTTTTTAGTCACACATTTCAATAATTTTTATCAAAATTTACTAAAAGTCTAATTTTAATCCATATCAAATAGGGGCTAAACAAATTATACCTTGCTTCACACTGTATTTTTCAAAAGGCAATTTAGGATTAAAAAAAAATGAAAAGAAAAAGTAATTGTATCTTGGTCCAACTCTCTAAAGTCAGTTGAGAAATATTTCAGTTCTTCCTCTCTCCCGTCCACTAGAAAAAGATTCATATAGATTCTAATATTCTATAATAAATTGGCCTGTACCTATGTGGTCCCATTTCCAAAAATTTCCCCCTCCAATTCAAGTCTATATCGTAACATCTTCTACTGTTCATTGGTGGAGAATATTCCACTAGACATGTCGAGCGAGTTGAGATAAACTAAATCCTTGTTTGATGGGAATTGAAACTAGATTTTTAGTAAATTTTGATAGAAATTAATGAAATGCGTAGTTGAAAAGTCGTGAAACCCATAAAATATGTGATTGAAACGAATTGTTGATTTGACTTAAATTAAAATTTAGATTTTAATTGATACCAATCAATGGCTAAAAGTCCATACACGATGATCTACTGTTTACCTATTAAGATTTATAATATGTGAAAATTACACCACACCTACTTTAAAAATTCAAAATTCTAAAATTAGATTGGATGTTTTATCATTCAAAAATCATATGTTTTATTAATTAATACACACGCACATATAAATTAATTAATATACTCTACTTCATTCCAAACCCTAATTCATTTTCTTCTTCCCTTTCTTCTCCCTATTCTCATCTTTCTCACCACACTCTATCCTCCCTCTCTGTCGACGGCGTCGCTCTCAGGAAGACGCCACCACCATTGCGCTCAAGACGCGGCCATAGAGCTTTGTCGCTCTGAAGTGGCAGCGCCACTACGAAGATGATGCGGGCGCTGCTGTGCGCGGGTGGTGGTGATTGAATTTGGTGAGGATGCACGTTTGTATTGCTTTGTGTGGTGTGGTACGATTTGGGTGTGTGTTTGTGGTGCTGTATGCGGTGCAGTGCGATGTTTAGGTGGTGGTGGTGCTGTGGGTAGGTGTGTTGTGTGCAATGGTAATGTCGACGTGGTGGTGGCTCGAGTTGTGTCAATGATGTTGATCAGTTGTCAAGCGGTAGTGGGTGTGGCTTTGGCGATGGTTGTGTTTGACGACAGTGTTGTGTGCGGTGTGGTGGTGGGTAATGGTCACAATGGTGTTGCTATCGGGAAACGGGAAGTAGTGGTGGTGATTTTGGCGACAGCAGTGGATTGAGGCTGCTAATGGTGTGGATTGAGAGTTGGTGGGGATGGATTTGGCTGCGACGACGGTGGCCATGGTAGCAACGATAGTGGTCTAATAGTGATTGTGGGTAGGGCGGTAAGATGGTGGTTGTAAGTATTGGTGGTGATCACAAATTATTTGGCTGAAAGTGACCATTAAATTGGTTAATTCGTTACCAATAAATAATACGTGATCAATAAAAAAGATAAAGTGTGACAAAAAATAATATACAACCTAAAAAATTGTTACTTTGTGATCGATAATTTGACAATTTATGACTATATAATAAGTTGTGATCGATAATTAAATTGTAACTTATAAATTTTTGATTTGTGACCGATGAACAAATTGTGATTTATAATTTTTTTTAATTCGTAAAATAATTTGTCACATATAAAAAAATTTATTTGTAATCGAAGAATAATACGTGACTAACAAGATCGTGAATTTGTGACCAAATTGTAAGATCTGTGGCCTTAATATATTTAATTAATAAAATATATAATTAATTAATTAAATCATAAATAATTTTTATTAAATATTTGATTTTTGAAATTTGAAACTTTTATTCTTAGTTATGAAGTTGGTGATACTTATCTTCTTACCTATAAATTTTTCTCTCTTATGATTCGATGTTCTATTCTAAAAGGTCAATTTAAAAAAAAAATTATAAATTATAAAATATTAATAAAAAATGTTAACTTTATTAAGAGTAGTTCAAATTTTATATATTGTCTCTATCTGTATTTCGTTATTTAATCAATGTATTGTATCTTTTAACATCTCCTCACAAGATTGTCACTAGTTACGTTTTAATAGGATCAAATTAATTGTTTGAGCTTAATGCATTCTTACAAGGGGAAAAAAAATCATAAACCAGGCTTTAAGTATGATTACTTCAAATATTAGGCCCAAAGTTCTAAAATGCAAAAATAAGGTTTCTGTTAATTAATTAAGAATATTTTATTAATCAAGTATATTAAAATCACATATATACGATTCATAGTCACAGATAAGTATTTAAAGGTCATAATGTCACATATTACGAAATTAATTGGTCACAAATTTTTTTACCAGTCACAGATAAAAAATATTATACGTTACAATTTTTTTTTATCGGTCACAAATTTTCAAATTAGTTGGTTACATATTATTTTTAAGTCACAAGTAATCAAATTTTTAGCTCACAGTTTACTTGTCCGTCACAGATTTGGTCACAAATTATTTTTAAATTACAAGTTATAAAATTTTTTGATCACAGATAACCAAATAATTTGTCACAAACCACCATCACTCGCCACCAACATCGCCCTCACACCATCGCTAGCACTACAACATCAACATCATACAACCATCACCACCACCGCACCACCGCACCACCACCACCACCACCACCATAGCTTCAACACTGCCAAAAGGTATTGTACACAGTACCAGCAACACCACCACACATACCATCGCAAGTAGATCACACCAACTCATCACAGACTCGCCAATACCCCCAAATCCACCCTAAATCCACCGCACCACCATCAACATCATCCACCACCGGTCCACCACCAACACCATCAACATCTATGACTTTTACCGTTCAATGTTCGGGAATGCAACTGGTCACTATTCTTGCAGCAAATCGTCGTTCAACGTTCTGCAAAATTGGTTGTCATCTTCGGTCTGAAAGGCAATGGCGCATCACATCTTCTCGACGGCGATTCTTCACCCAGCGACGCTAATGAAATTATTGGAGTTTGGAGAATTGGGTGGAGATATTTGGCCGCCGAGCTCCTAGTCGGCGATGACTACGGGTGGCAACAACGGAAAATGATTGCCGGAATGGTACAGACGGGAGGGAGAGAGGCAAGGGTGTGTTTGAGCGAGAGAGGAATATGAAATGAAATGAATTAGGATTTTAATATATAAGGACATGATTTGTGCACAATAAAACTTCATTCCAGACTATTGAACTGTGATCTTTAAGTACCTGAATTTATGTAATTTCCACTTCTTACAACATATTAAGCTGAGTAAAATTAACTGGATTGGGCCTTAACTGTTTGTAATTAGGCAAGACTGGGCCTGGATCAAAATTCAGTCGGGCAAATGAATTTCCCTCCCGAAGCGGAACGTCTTGGATTATTTTCTTCTTAGTTGCACTTTGACTGTTCGACATATTGCCTCAGAGAAGTTTGCCGCGAACCTCACCAGCTCCACCAACACTAGCCGTGAATGATAACCTTGTGGATCAGTAGTTCATTGAGCAATTATTGAAGATTTCTGGCTGCAAAGGTGTGATGACTTTGTTGGTAATTGAGGGTTTTGAATTGGTTTTTGGTTTGCTGTACTGATTGAAATTTTGGTCTTGTGTTCTGAATTGATTGAAATTCTGGTTTTCCTTGAGTTGTAATCTGATACTCTTTAGTAAAAACCTAAAGCGGTTCACTTCCCACTGAAAAAAAAGTACACTTTTTGTTATTTGAATTCTTTCCGAATAATTCTATTCATCTGTTGAAGTTACGTGTTTTTCTTATACTTAGTTTTAGGTCATGTTATTAATTTTTATTTCAAATTGGTTTCATATGGATCAGATTGAATGGAAATGGTAGGAGTTTAAGCTTGAAACTTGTATGAGGCATTAGAGAGTCATGCCCATTTTCGAGAAAGATTCAACATTTTTAGCATATAAAAATCATCATTCGTTTTGTTTTTGCCATTTCTTAGTAGCTTATTTCATCTACTGGGTGTTCAGAATTAAAAAGTACCTGGATATCAGTAAATAAGCACGATTTTTCATGTTTACAAGTTTTAGAGTCCCCTGGTTGTATGTTCAACTCTCACTGAGTTAGAGAATATTCATATAATAAAGTCAGATTCCAACGTCAAAGTTCTAACACTGAATATAAATAACATTGATTTCTCTAAGCTACTAGGTCAGGCTTGTGATCTTTTGCTAAATTTCCAGCAATTCGTGCCAGAAACTAGTCATCCAGATCCAATGAAGGAGATTCTTATATGTATATATGCTAAGTAAACATAAAAAGCTAGTCCAAAAATTAATAAGCATGACAACATAAGTAACAGTAACTTTGGGTATCTTAAAATGCTATAATCATCTGTGATACTGCCTTTAGTTATGTGTTTGTATCTACATTGTAGCACTTTCTTACTATACTTGCAAAATTTTTACCGATATTTGTTCTATTTCTCTTATAGCTAAATTTGTAATTTCGTTATGCTTTTTTACCTCATGCAGGGTTTTTTTTATCTTCTTTTTGTTTTTCAACTTTTTCTGTAGTTTCTTGTTTGAAATTTTCATTTTTTCTTGTTCTTTCTTCATATGCAGTCTTAACTTTGCTCAGGTTATTGCGTTAAAAATCAAAGTTCAAAGAAACAAGCATAGAGAAGACAAAACAAAACTAATAGAAATATTTGAATCAATGTTTGTAATTTTCGTGATGCTTGTTGTTTGTCGTACGACTTATGGTCCTTACTTTTCTTTGTCCTTTTTCAATCATATTACCTAGCAGTTATAGTTTATTTGTGTGCCTACAGATATGAATATCCAGTTGGTTTACACTAAGTTTGATAATGGACATCTTGATGCTTCTTTTGCTTGCAAAATGAAAAAGAAAATGATTTCATAATGAGTTTTTTCTTATGGTTTTGTAGTGTTCAACTGTTGATACACTCCTACTTCAAGTTCAATATTTGGTTTTTGAAGATCCCAAGTTCTGATTTAAGTAGTGTTCAAGGTTTTTATATTACATGTTTATGATATTTTTGTAGTCTTTTCATTTTCCATATTTTATATGCATATTAAAGGGTAAGGCTCACTATGCCCGCTTTTCCCCTTATTGTTTTTCTTGTACTGTTGAAGTTCTCTTAAAAAGTTATACAAGCCCCCAGCTGACCAATCCTGGATCCGCCCCTACCTCCATTTAATCATCAATTTCACTTCAGTATCAGAAATCAGAAGCCTTGATTACACACTCATGAAGCGTCTCTTGTGGAGCTCCATTCCCAATTTTAGATTCTATTCATCGTCGGTTCAAAATGTGCTCGAAACCGGACACATTCTAAAGCAAGCCAGGATATTCTCGAATTTTGACATTATCCAATATTCAAAGCTGACAAATGACTCCAATCCATTGCATTTTGATCTTGAACGTGCCAAAAATGCTGGTTTTGCTGATCTTCCAGTACCTGGAATGCTCGTGGCTTCTTTGTTTCCCCGAATCATCGCTTCCCATTTCGTAAGTAATCTTCTGTTCTTTCCTTGTCACACCCAAAATGTTATTTGTACACTTCACTTAATTGTAAGGTCAATCATTGACGAAATGTTATCTTTCTGATATGTTGACATGATTTTTTACTAGGCAAGTGTAGCATACATTTATTCATTGCAATTTGTAGCCAGGGGCTGTGTATGTGAAGCAAACTTTGGAGTTCCGGTCACCGGTTTATTGTGGGGAGGAGATCAATGGGGAAGTTCAGGCAAGCAATATTAGACAAATGAAAGAGAAATATATGTTAGTACTGTGCTTCCTTTATCATCCTAAAGTTTTACATCTTTCTCAGGAGTCATTAATTTGATTCATTGGCATTTTATCTGTGATTTTTTAGGGCGAAATTCACTACAAAATGCTACAAAGATGGAGGAATTCTTGTAATTGATGGTGAGGCCACAGCAATATTGCCTACTCTGGCCATGAAACGAACTTGAGGAATGCCGCAATGTTGACCAACTGGACTGCTCAAAACAAGGTCGCACCTCCACTATCCTAGCTGATTTTTTCAATCAATCAATTTAAATGGAATCTCTCCTATTCCCTGGTTAAATCATACATTGGATGTTATTAACATATATATCCATGTTGATTGATTGGACATGGATATTGGAAGTGTGCCGTGGAAACAAATTAAGGATCATTGGCTAGTTTCTAGGAATGCCCGAGCAAGGTGGCATTGAATAATTTGCTTCAGTTACTTGAGATAGTTGGGAGTATATATTGATGGTCATATTTGAGAAATTTTGAGTAAATGTATTTATTCAAGACATATCCACATAAATAAATTGATATTATCGAGTGAGGAATGTTACTTGAAAATTGCTATGATTATATGCATGTCAATCTGCATTATTAGATATTGCAATATTTCCATGGCATTGCATGAACAACTAGGGACACCGTACCAAATATTCAGCAGTATGCAAAACAACACTCTTAATTTCCATCCAAATCATATTTAACCCTTGTTTGATCCCCATTTTTTGGAGAAAATGAATTTTACAATAGTGTTTTGACATAATTTCAACCACATATTCTTTAATAAAATAATATTACACGCAAATCCAAAATTTTTTCTTATTTTTTAACCACACATTTCACATCAATACACTATTCAAAAATTCATTTTCCCCATCAAAATGGGGCTCAAACAAGGGCTTAAATTACACTAAAACAGACATGATTACGAACATTAACCACAAGACAATAAAGAGTATAGATATACTTGGACATCTTTTTAAATAGTGTTCTTTTGTATATCTCCGGCCAGGCAAGACCTAAGCCGAAAATCCAAATAGTAGCCAAGCAAGGAACATGAATTCATACAAAATTGAGCAATAATTTTAAGAAGAATGTGCACTTAATCTTGTTGTAACAATATTGTGAGCTTGGCCCAAAAGAAGAAATTAGTATGTGCCACCATCACCCAGCCCAAATTACAAAATAGAATAGACCCCGCGAACGGCACCTCTTCACTTCCCGAATCCCAAGTGAATCAGCAAGAAATGGCGCCACTATTTCCCGCGCTCCTGCAAATCCCGCACTAAATTGAAGCCATTACGAAAACCCTGGTTTCTCACCCTGTCCAGACCACCCAAGGGAACAGTAATTATTTTTTGACGATTTGTATGTGTGTGAGGTTTTGAGGTATTTGATTCTTTCGAGATATTAGTTTTGATTGTTGAATCTTGTTATCACCCTAATTTGTGCTTTGATGGAATTTGAGTATGTTGAATCTATTTTATTTCAGATTGCGTACTTTATTTTCCTTCATGGGTTTTGAATTAGAATTTGTACATTTCGTGTACAGCTCCATTAAAATGCCAAAAAGAAATATCTTCCATTATTTCAAGAAGGACGATGATGATGGATCATCTGGTAAGCCAAATGCTCCACACGACTCTCCTACTTCAAATCCAAGATCACCACCGAAGAACAAAAGAGCCAAGCCTGAGAATGAATTTTCTTTTGAAAGTAACTGTTCATGCTATGAACGAGATCCTGGAAAACGCATCCCAATATGGCAATACCCGGCTAACAAACAAGATGAGGTTCGAAGAGCTTATGTCGATATGGGACCATATCAACCTATTTATGACTATCCATTTGTTTCATTTGGGACTAAAAAACGCCGATTTCAATCTTCTTGGTTCACAAAATTTTCATGGCTTGAGTTTTCCATAGAAAATGGAAGTGCATTTTGTTTTCCATGCTATCTATTTGATAGTAATACGTCTAAGAGTGAGGCATTCACAGTCAAGGGGTTTCAGAATTGGAAGAAAGTCAACTGTGACAGCAAATGTCCACTGAAAACGCATGAAGGAGGTTGTAATTCTTCACATAGCATTGCTGTGCAAAAGTTGAAGGATTTGAAAAACCCAAGTCAACATATGCATTCTTCAAAGGAAAACATGCTTACAACCGGAGTCATTTTAAAGCAAGTCAAGATATTTTCAAATTCCGATTTTGTCGAATATTCAAAGCTCACCCACGACTCTAATCCATTGCATTTTAATCTTGAGCGTGCCAAAAATGCTGGTTTTGCTGATCTTCCAGTACCTGGAATGCTTGTGGCTTCTTTGTTTCCTCGAATCATTGCTTCCCATATTGTAAGTAGTCTTCCGCTCTTTCTCTGTCGTCCATAATTAGTATTTTTTTTTTCACTTCACATAATGGCAAGTCGAATGGAATTTGTAGCCAGGGGCTGTGTATGTGAATCAAACTTTGGAGTTCAAGTCACCAGTGTATTCTGGGGAGGAGATCACCGGGGAAGTACAGGCACTCAATATTATTAGACAAATGGAAGAGAAATATATGTTAGTACTTGTCTACTTCCCTTGTCATACAAAGTTTTACATCTTATTCAAGTGTTATAGATTGATTCATTGGCACTTTGCCCGTGCTTTTTTAGGGTGAAATTCACTACAAAATGCTTCAAAGCTGGAGGAATTATTGTGATTGACGGTGAGTCTACGGCAGTATTGCCGTCTCTGGCCATGAAACAAACTTGAGGGATTCATTGGCACTTTGTCTATTCAAGATATATATTTGTACATTAGTTGCCAAACTGTCCTCCTTGTCTTTGGCCCTCAATGGACAGATTGCATCAACGCACTTTTTCAGGATAAAATGGATAAAAACTTATCATAGTCTAGCCTGTGCTGCAAAAAAAATAAAATAAATAATAATAATAATAATAATAATATACTCAGACACAATCTTGAAAATTTTGCATTGATCCAGAAATTTCTAAAATGTATTTGGTTTTCAGATAAACATAAAGTTATAAACTATGATCAACCTATTCACTAGCTGCACAAGAATTAAATTATTCAGCATTAAATGAGATCCAATTGCATCGCAGCGCAAACAATTGAGAGCAGTAGCAGAGAAAAACTTGCAGGTGTTTTATGGCTTCCATCCTCAAAAATCTGATTTTGAGATATAAAACAGAAATGTTCAATGAAAATAAGTCCAGATGCTACAGAAATAAACTGGTAGTACATAATCAATGTAATGTCTTATTACCATTCTGTCAAATTGTAATCGTCTGGTGGTTCCAAATGCACATCTGGAGTAACCAGCCACCTCTTCTTTGTAGTCTTCAATGTTGGACAATCTGAGTAATAATGTAACACGTAAAAGCAATGTTTTAATTTAGAGATGAGAACTAATCTGTCAGAGCTTAATCTTTAGTTGTTCTGAGATGAATTTTGAAAATAATGATCAAACCCATTCATTGAGAAACTTTTGTCTATCATGAAAGGGTTCGTCTTATGCAGTAGAAAATTATTTCAAGAAATCATAATGCCAGTTGCTGGATGAGGATGCTGCAAATGTGGATTTATGGATGCAATAATGCAAGTGATCTTAATCTTTTCGTGATAGGGGGGGCAAGGGGCTAAACATAGGGGATGGAAAGATATGCTCAACCTCGTAGTTTCATGTTTTATGTTAAATATTTATTCTAATCTTGGTGTTGAAATGAGAGAATAATTCCATAATGAGTTTTTGCAAGTAGTATTGTGCAGGAAATGATTTGATCGGAGAAGTTGATATTACCTCCTTCGGCATATATTGAGTTGTAATGAACCTCAGCCCAAAAGCTCAAGAAAATAACTGCATGTCAATATAAATTAAATGGGATACCATACAAGTTTCTTTCTGTAGGCTTTGTTGTCAACACCAAGAAAAAGATGGAGTTGGTAAAGGGGAAGATAATTTTTTTTTTTGATAAGTAATCAAATATTTTATTAATCAAAAGATAATACACAGGAAGTGTATTATAAAATTAAACAAGAAATAAACTTCATAAAATTAGGCAGCCTATCTATGTGACTAGAAGTTGCAACATTAAATTAATTATACCAAGTCAAATAAAATAATTCTCTAAATTGCTCAAAAGTCTTTATCTGATCATCAAAATAGCGCTCATTTCTTTCTCTCCATTCGCACCAAACAATGCAGTCTGGAATAAGGTCCCAAACAAGTTTACTGTCCTTGTCACGAAACTTCCTCCTTCATGCCTTCAACATATCTTCCACACGTCTTGACATCATCCAATCCATATGTTGAGAAGTCAGAATATCATTCCACAGCAAACGAGCATCATCACAATGGAGAAACAAATGGTCAATCGTTTTCCCATCCTTTCTGCACATATGACACTAATCTGTAATATAAAATTCCCTCAATTGAAAATTATTCGCTGTTAACACTTGTCCGTCCATAGTAAAAACGCCACCCTTGGAGGTAGTTTACTCTTCCAAACCATCTTCCAAGGAATGAATTCTCCGCATATCCCAATAAGGATCTAAAATAAGTCCTAATTGAGAAAATGCCATTCCTTCCCAGCGTCCATCTAATGCGGTCACTATCTCCTATCCTGATATGCACTTCATACTAAGCGGTCAATAACAGTGCATAATCATCCACTTCCCAATCTTGTAATCCCCTCCCAAAAACAATGTTCCAGTTGATGCTCCTGTTATGTGTATCTAATACGTCATTCACCATAGCAGATGGTATCATGGCAATACGATACAAAGAAGGAAATCTCTCCCTTAGCTGTTGATCTGTACACCAACAATCATCCTAAAAGCTGATAGTATTGCCATTCCCCACACCAAAGGTCATTCTATTCCCAAAGTCACTCTACCTTTGTCGAATATACCGCCACAAACTGACGCCGGGTAAGATATTGATTATCCTATTGGCTTGTTGTAGCAGATGATTCGCAAGAAAATAACGACAGAAAACGCCCAAAAAATCAGAGAAAAGACTCTGAATTGAACTCAATATTATTAATAATGCAAAATGCTGAAAACTAAACTACAAGCCAGGTTAAATAGCTGCGAAATACGAAATTATGAAAAAATTACCAAAAATGGCAAAATCCCAAAATTATACCAAAATAAAATATTAAGTAAAAGAAGTAAGTTGCTAAAAATTTGGCTTAATTCGAGTTCTTTAACATATAGAAAAAAGGAAACTAAATATTACCATAAATAGTAAAAAATAACTTAAAATTGAATTTTGGAAAGGAAAACAGTGGATTTTGGGCTTGAAATTGACGTCCACCAAGCAAAGCTGGGGTGGCCACGACATGCGCGCCGAAGAGAGCTTTCCGGATTGGGGTCATAATAGCGATTCCGATAACCGTAGCCAAAGTTATGGCCAAATTACCAAAGACGCGTCAAATTCCCCTAATTAAGGAAATAATGGTGATTCACTTTCTATCTTTGCGCTGATCCGCCATCTCATGGTATCTCAGCGCTATCATCGTGCTATCTGACAAATCAGCATCACTCGACTCGGATCCTCTTGCATCACAAACTCACCCCGTAGGTACCACGACCCTCAACTGAACACCATCCACCCTCCAAAATACCATATTTCTCTTCTATAATTTCTCTCTAGAAACTCTCCCTCTCCACCCCCAAATCGCTATAAACGCTTACCCAATAAGGCCTTATTAAACAATACAAGGCTCCTTAATCCGAGTCCCCCAACCCTTGTGGGAGAACAAACTGCACCCCAATTGACAAAATGACATTTCCTCTCCTCTCCTAACCCTCCACAAAGGAACTCCCTTTGGATCCTCTCTAGTTTCTTAGCCACTGTAATAGGAATGGGAAACAAAGACAAGAAATAAGTGGGGAGATTCGAGAGAGTAGACTTGATAAGAGTAAGGCGACCTCTCTTTGAGAGGTATATATGCTTCCAACCCACTAACCTCCTCTTCACCCTTTCCACTATACTGTCCCAGATGTGTTTGATTTTGAACTTTGCTCCTAGTGGGAGCCCAAGATATGTCATAGGCAACTGCGCAACCCTACAGCCCAATTTAGCAGCCAACCCTTCCACGTTATCGACCTCTCCAATAGTGATAGCCTCAGATTTTCCCAAGTTTATCTTCATTCCAGATACGGCTTCGAAGCATAAATCAAACGACGCAAATTCCTGAAGTGCTCGAAGTCTGCATCACAAAAGATCAGAGTATCATCTGCAAACAGCAAATGTGATATCTGCAATTGACTAATCCTAAAGCCCTTTAACAAACTCTCTCCCACAACCTTCTCAACCATTTTACTGAATGCCTCCATTACAATAATAAATAGTAATGGAGACAAAGAATTCCCTTGTCGCAACCTTCTACTACTCCGAAAATGGCCTTCAGGAGTGCCATTTAGCAAAATCGAAAAAGAGACAGTAGAAATACAAAATTGAATCCACTGGCACCACTTGGGCCCGAAACCACATCATCTAAGCATATACAATAGGAAACACCAGTTTACGTGATCATAGGTCTTTTGAATATCAAGCTTACATAGCATCCCTAGAGCCCCTTGTCGTAGTCTTGAATCAATGCATTCATTTGCTATGAGTACAGAATCCAAGATCTGTTGCCCTTTGACAAAAGCATTCTGAAATTTAGAAACCACTTTTTTCAGCACCCCTTTTAATCTATTAGCCAAGACCTTTGCAATAATCTTATACACCCCACTTACTAGATTGATAAGTCGAAAGCCCTTAATTTCTGTTGCTCCTGATTTTTTTGGGATCAGCACAATAAATGTGGTATTAGAGCTTCTCAAGAATCTGCCACATTGGAAAAAACATCCACAATGTCTGGTCGTATCACATCCCAACAAGCCTCATAGAATGCGAAGGAAAATCTGTTCGGTCCTGGGGCCTTGTCATCATTCATACTGAACATCACCTCCCTAATCTCGTCCTCCCCAAATGGTCTTTCTAACCAACTGACATCCTCCTCAAAAATAGTGGAAAACTCTAGCCCCTCAAGCTCTGACCTCCAATCAAACTGCTCCTTATAAAGATTTTGATGAAAACTCACCATTTGGGTACCAATATCCTTTGGGTCCCCATAAGTTATCCCATCCACCTCTAGCATAGAGATACAATTGTTGTGCCTGTTGGAATTGGCCACCCTATGGAAAAACTGTGCCAAGAAATCTCCTCCATCTCCACCAACCTCTCTAACTCTCCCCTTAATTTTTGACGTCGCTCCCTCTCTTCCCCTCTCAATCCTCGACTTTCCTCTTTCCTATCCAACTCTACTATTTCTGATATGCATTGATTTTTACGTCAGTTAACATCTCCCACCACCTCCTCATTCCACCTTTTGAGGTCTCCTTTTAAAGCCTTTAATTTCTGATCCAACACATAACTGGGGGACCCCCTGAACTTGTAAGAGCCCACCAAGTCCGTACTCGCTCTTCAAAATCGTCCACTTTAAGCCACATTTTTTCAAACCTAAAAGGCCTTTTCCCGTTATACCCCACATCCCCAGATAATGAAATAGTAAAATGATCTGAATATACCCATCCCAGCCTCCTCCGAGCGACGTTCGGGTAGTTAGGCTCCCACTCCACACTAATCAAGAACTAATCAATTCTAGAATGAACAGGTTGCTCTCGATTAGATGACCAAGTAAAATCTCCCCCCATCAAAGGCATATCTTCTAACATATTCTCCCTGATAAAATCCGAGAAGTCCCCCATAGCCCCTGTTAGTCTCCCGGCGCTAGACCTTTTAATAGGAAAGCGGACCACATTAAAGTCACCCCTATGCACGTTGGGAGTTTCCACCAAGCCATCATACCTATCAATTCATCCCACAATCCGCCTCTACTTTCATCAACATTAGGCCCATAAACTCCTATAAATATCCAATGACATCTATCCCCAATATTTATAAATGAAAGGGATAGAGAAAATAGCCCCTCACTATCCTCCTCCAACTGAAAGACTCTAGTATCCCACATAATTAACACCCTCCTGAAGCCCCCAATGACCCCACAAATTGATACCCAACATGCTGTCCCCCCCCATAAGCTACTTACAACAGCCCTCAAAACGATCTCCAACTTTGTCTATTGTAAGCAAACAATGTCAGTCTTCCAACCCTTTAAGAGATTTCGAACACCTAACCTTTTTCCAACTTCATTAAGCCCTCTCACATTCCAACTAACTATTTTTTGAATCATCTTGAAGCACCATCATCCATCCCCATCAATCCTCTTCTTGACTCACCACCCCTCACGTCATAATTAACCGAGCATTCAAGCCGTTTAAGCTCATGGTCACCCTTTCTTCTTGTCTTACCTCCTAGTGTATCCATCCCTTATCCCTTACTCGCCTCCAACTCCTCAAATTGCATGAGCTTATGTTCATACCCGTCGCAGGACACCCCCACCATCTTGCTGAATTCCAAAATTTTTTGAAGAGCCTAGCTCGAAGGTGGCGGTCTAATGACAAGCTCACTCATTTCCACTATCTCCTCCGAGGAAAACTGATCATATTGTAAGTCCCCTTCCTCCACCCGAACTACATCCCTACTCATATCCTCTTTTTTGGCGCCCTCCACCCACACAACCAGAGCTTTATCAGTCCCTGCGTCGCCCTCATTTATAGGCTTAGAATATCTCCTACAGTAGGTATTCGTAACCATCGTTGCCAAACATGTTGCCCCTTGTTGTTTATCAAAAGCCGAAGCTAAACTTTTTGTTGTTGCATTGGGTGTCTCTTGCTCCGTAGTTGACATTAATGCTATTGCTGGCCTCGTGTCCAACGTCTCCACAATTGTGGAACAATTGCCTTTGGTCACATCCGGTCTCTCTGACTCCAAATTCATCAAACTCGGCTCTCCTTTCTTGTCCCATAGTTCCACCTCCGCCCTTCTACTTTGTACTTGGGATTCGCTACTTGGCTCAGCCATCACCTCTTTAATGTGGGCCCTCTTCGATTTCAACTCCTTAGACACCTCATTTGCTACTACATTTCCAATAGCTGTATAATCATCTAAGCCCACTCTACACGTATGACAATACGTCTGCCTATGACCCACTGCATTCCCGCTAACCAATAACCACAGTAGTTCATCCAATTTTCCTTTCAATGCCTTTATGTGGGCCCTTATGTCAGCATAGTTTGCAAAAATATCAGACATTCCTTCTGTAGTCTTTTCGCCGTCCTTATGCACTGCTTTATCCTTCTGCATCCGTACCCATTGATTAGCATTTTGAGAGGCCTGAATGTTTGCAAAAACTGATGCATAAGTCATCCCTTGCAAGCTTTGCTCTTCCACTACTCGATGCTTGGCCTTATCTTCGACAACAAATGATTCTATAACTGCTTGGAACACGCGCGAGATCGTTGCCATCCCTCTCCATTACGCCCTTCAGGCACCATCACTACACCCTTTCGACTTCACTCCCCATACCGCGTTATTATGAGATACCTACCACGACTGTTAGTACATCGTTGTGCCAAAAACGCTCGGGGGGTCTCATTAAATTTCGCGACAAAATCCTCCAACATTCTAGCCATCCTTAACTTATCCACCATATTCACCATCCAAACAGCTCCAAATATTCCCATGTGAATAGCATTTGAGATCTTAGATCCCCATTCTGACATCTTAACCATGCCTGAATCAGTGACAGGCACTACAAACTGTTTTTGCCTCAATTCTGAAATTGGAGCAAGACACCAACATGCCATTAGGAACACTCTGTCTCCCTAGATTCCGTGCAACCGAAGCATCATACGAAGAAATAGGATAGTTAAGAGTCCTAGGCGAAGTCTGCTTGTTCTAAAATACCCTCAAAGCAACTATGACTAGCAAGAAAACAGCGAAAAAGAAACAAGAAATAACAGAGTGCAGATAAGTTGCATTGTATATGCACTTATGTTTTGATCAGTCAAAAATCAACTCCATCCATTTTAAAGTACAACTAGCTAATGAAGTTCATGAAAGAGTACCTCGTTCGGATTTTTGAATGTTTGGAAGTATTTCAATGTAACAGGTGTCCTCGAATGATGTTATGACAAGTATTTTTACACCATACTGCAGCAAGTCATTAGTAATCATCAGACTGCAAGAATTTGCTTTCTCAAAAGATCCAAATGGCTAAAGTCATAAGATCATGAATCATTAAATAAAGACTTTGATTTGTGTAATGTCAATTTTGGATTCATTTGTAGATGATGAACTTAACTCATACACATTTATCAATACACATAGCAAATCCACTTGCTATTTTCTTTTTAGCGGGGTGGCAGGATGGCTAGTATGCGCACAAGTTTTTAAGACCTACTCTGTTTTTAAACAAACTTTTGCTTAACGACTCTTGATATAGCACAACAAAGGACCCATTTCTTATCAGCATGGAATAATCAAGTCTTATAAGGGCCAACATCAGTAAGTGGGAGCTCAACAGTTAGAATGCCGTGTAACATGAGCCAAATTGTTTTTGTCCTTGTGGATTTTGACATCCCAAGAAAATTAATGAAACTTTCAACCAAATATCATATCATTAGTAGGTCTAAAATAATTTTCCATCAAGCACTTCCAAATCAACAATACAGTCATATGTTGCTCATTCCATCCATATCTACTTCCTCATTACCCCTCAACCTCCCCTGTTTTAATCCCTTCTTCCTTCCACCTCTTTTAAATATATTTCAATCCTCATCCTTCCCATCCCTGACCTTGAAAGCAGCTATGCGACGCGAAATCAATCATGTATATTTTAAGGATTAGCATCACGTACGATGTGAAAGCAGAAAAAGTAACAAGTATCACAATAGCAAATGGACTGCAAAATACTGAGCTATAATTTGAGGTTCAATCATAAGAGCAAAACGGGTAAAATGAAAGCTAAGAAAACTATCACAGTCATGAAACGAGGCCAAACCAGACGAGGAAATCATACCGAATCTGCAGCAGCCTGCAAAGTAACATGATCACCCCATTCTCCACTCCTGATTTCCATGCAAATTATGTTTATATCACAATGAAATAGACAACCAGTAACCATCAGACAATGCAGAGTAAAGACTTACTTGGACATCTTTTTCAAATATTGCTCGTATGCCATTGGTACGTATCCTTCATATATCTCTGGGCAAGACTTGAGCTGAAGTCCAAATTGTTGCCAAGCAATAAATATCAATTAAAACAAAATTAAGCAATAAGTTCAAGAAGAATGTGTACTCAAGGGAAGTGCCTACCTGATTAACAACTTCTTGTCGCACAAACTTGTGGTGCTCAGGAGTACGGTAAATTTGATCTGATAGAGCTCTAAACTGAAAAGAATCACATTTCCAATCAGAATTTGTGATAAGTTATTCATTTCTGGTAAGTTAACAAGGGACATAATGCACCTTGCAAGTTAAACTTCTAACTTCTTTGAACACATTATGTAAAAAAAAGGTGCTCGTGGAATTCTTCTCATCATTTTTTTTTATTTTTTTATTTTATTTTATTTCTATTCTTTATTTTTGTAGATACTACTGAACATTAGAAAGTAATTTTTCTAGACTAAAGTCAGAAGCCACAAATATATTCATGACACAAGGTTCCGATTCTCTAGTTCCCGGCATTAGAAATAAGGAGGGTATAACCCCACTTTCAGAAACATGGTTATAATGGAAACTTTCACTGATACAAGGACACCAATTCTACAAATTTTCTTGCTTTGATTATGAGGTCTTCAACCAATGTTCACAACATGACAATACAGATAGCACACTAAATTTTTGAAACTCAGTGTAAGTACATGGCATGACTAAAACTTTCTTTCAGATATTCAGTTGTGAATTCAAAAATCACATGTACAGTCATATCATTTTGATGAAACTTTCCTGACAAGCACGGTCAACAAAAAATTTAGAAATCATCAAATCACGTGATCCGAAAGATTTCTTCACCAAGTCAAGGCCTTACAGGGAAATCTAGATGATGCAGGCTAGCAAAGTGAAACTTAAGGACACTGCTCCATTTGAGAACTAAAATGAGATAACTTCGGCATCTGACCGACTAATATTATGGTAAAACCCCCAATTTTAATCCAGCCCAATAGAAAGATCTATTGAAACCCTGTCCTTGATTGGAATTCCTCTAATGTAGAAAAGGAAAGAAATATGTGCTTCTGATCAAAGGACTACGCTTCGACAGAAGATATGACATAACAATGCGACTGACAGTCCAAGTTAGAGAAAGAAAAAGTGTGAGCAAATAAAAAAAAGTATAAAAACTAACCTGGCAATTTCCATCGCCTCGAACCTTAAATTCTACCAGCTCATACACCAGTAATCTAGAAAAGAGAACATGAATTGAGTCTATGTTTAAATATAATATCAATAGATTTTATGCATCCTCTACAAACTAAGAGAAGTGATACATTACTCTTTTTTTATAAGAGGGGGAAAAAATACAAACAAACAAACCAACCAACCAACAAAATGAAGACAAGCACTGCCAAGATATCATCTACCCACAGGCTGTCATTGAGAACAATCAGAATTTCTTCAAGAATTATTAGCTTCAGTGGCATTTTTTTCCAAACCTAAGAGGTATGTCTAAGTTTATGTGCTCGTTGCCAAAACTTTGTTAAGTTCTTGCCAAAAATATGATAGTATTTCTCCTTGTGTTCTTCATGTCAAGAAACAGGATTCCAGTACCTGTCCAGAAGCCTTTGATGATCTAATGTTGTTTTATCAATTGAGGGTATTTCACCATTAATTCTAGGAATGTGCTGCAAAATGAAGACAAAATTGAGAAAGATTAACATCCAATTCATATTTTGGAAACAAATTAAAGAAGTCTAGCAGGAATGTTTCCTCATTAGTCATTAGAATAATGATGCATGAATCTGTATCACTAAATGTGATTTGTGTACTCTTTGATTATTAAGTTCAAAAACTGCAGCACTTTAGTACATATTATGTATGCAACAACATTAACTTGAAAAGCTTTATTCCTAATGAACTTAGAATCGGTTACATGATGCTTTTTCGCCACCCATCAAATGAAAATTATACACAGATCCCTATTACAGGATACAGGCCACAAAGTCTAGACATCCAAAAATGAAAACACCTATTCATCCCTTTTTGATAAAAATTCTCTCTCCTCTTGGTTTCTTTGAATCAAACTCCTCTATGACGAGTCATAGTCGCTGCCTCCGGTCCCACTCATTCACTTGTTTGAGACTGTTCATGGAATAGATTTTGTTTGTTCTTGTTCGGGATGCTATAAAATACAACAGTTGCAGTATTTACCAACTATAATAAAACTCAGCACGACAGGATGAGCAAGTTATCAATTATTCCATAGAAATACTAAATCAAAATTAACTCTAACATGAAATCTAAAGCATAGTTTTAGAGTGCAACAGGTTACTGAAGAGAGAGAAAAATGCATCTCATGTACTATTAGCTTTTAAAATGACATGCAATAGCATATTAAAATCAAACTTCAAAGGTTCTAGGGAAATTGATGAGAAGGGGGATATTGATCTCCAATGACAATACACTTACGGGAATAGGAACCATCTGGTTCAATCTTTTGCCCAATTCACCATCCAAAGCATTCCCGTCCATTTGGTCCAGAGAATGTGACCACTCCTCCCCACAATATGACTCTCCTCCTGGGCTAGAATATGAAGCAGATACTTCCAAATCAGTAGGTTCTTCTTGGCAATTCCCATTTCCTACAAGTTGTAAAGCACATAATCATAACATAGGTAAGATGATAATATAATTCAACAAATCAAATAGTCTGGAATCTGTGATACTATCAATACCAAAATTGTAGGTTCCAGGTGACTGAGCAAACCAATTCGGAGAATAGAAAGATGTTTGTGAATGGTCTACACCCTCCTGGAAAGATTTAGATTGTTCTGCATCTGAAATTCGTAATAGTTCTTCATGTAGACAGTTTACTGAGAGATCGTGGTTTTCTGCATTGCTAGATTCTGTGCCACAGTTATATTCTTCAAGGTAGTGCCCAGGAAAATAGTCTGTATTTTGTTGCAAAATGGAACCACAGCATCCATAATTAGGATATGGATAAGTGTCGAAAAGCTGGAGACCCCACCGAACAACATCAGGATCTTGCTCGTACTTAATCATTAGAATACCAAGGGTCAAAATCGGAGCATTCGTGCCTCAAAAAGTACTGAGTTTAATAGCTGCTGGAGAATGGAGAGAATTATGATATTGGAAAACATTAAACTTGATTGGTTTTGGGAAAAGCATCATATCTAGCTTCCACCTGATTGAAGAGTAATATTAGGTATTTACCGCTGTGCCACATATCAGAAGTTGACCAACGCACTCCAAGCATAAAGAATGGACTTTTTTCATTATTTTTATTTTTATAACATTTTCAACTAGCATGGGATGCAATGACATTCATATGGAAAGGTCAAATCACACAAGGCCAATCAGGAAAGTCATCAAAATTACAGTAACAATAAAACAACCATTGGAAAGAAACTTTTGCCACATGTTCGAGTTTAAGAGGAGACACAATTCTTTATGTATGCATCTATCCACTTTCTACTACTAAATTTCTTTTCAGTAAAAGAAATTTATTTTCAGAGAAAATAACTGCTATGAAGAGGCCACCTATACATACCTATATACTAGGTGATTAATGTTAATGTAGGCACATGGAACTCGTAGCTGCTGAAAATGTTGGAAGGTCTAGTGAAGTGCAGGAATCATGGTGATGACAGTGGTACAAGCATGCACTTAAATTCTTCAATATGTTGATCAAATAAAGGATCTAGAGACGGAATTATGAGAATAAATCCAAAAACAAAAAAACCAAAATAAGAAAGAAGTGTATGGTTTCATTGAAATAGGGAAAGGTTTCACAATAACACAATAGTTCTCAGTTCTGGCAATCCACCTTTGGTCTTCTTCCAAAATGAATGATCATGAATTGAAAATAGATAACCTTATTCCACCAATGCAGGGACAGTAATGCCTCCAAGCAACTCATTGGAGAGTTCCACGTATGGGTAGGCCCCAGCATATGAGCATGCATGCGACTAACAACTTATAATATACACAAGTATGAGTAGAATTCCTTTCCTTCAATATTCAAGTCAATATTTGATCATTAAATTCTTAAAAAATGGCAGTCGAGGGTAACCTAATCGTTCCATTGCTCTAGATGATTAACTATCTCACACGCGTAAATTCCAATCCAGAATAATGGATGCATCCAGTAACTTCTTAAAATTAGATTCTAGCAAAACAATTCGGAAACCCATTAATTCAATACAAATTCTTCGTTCATCATATGATGGATTATAAGATAATAATGATCAACTGTGTAAGATTCAAAAAAACATTCCCTTAACTACAATTTATGGCTTCCATTTCTAACATATACAATCCTACGGCTGTATGAGCTAAAACAACAGTGTCAAACTCTAAAACGGCCAACCAAATAAATAAAAAAGAAACAAATCAAAAGTTATGGTCCAACACCTAATTAAACAAACAATCACGTTCCATCCAACCGCGCACACATTCCACGTGTAGAGACATTAGATCAATCTGCTAATCTAACCACGATAGCATCGCCACAATTGAATCAAATTTCTTAAAGACAAAGCAATCAAAACAAGACTAAAATCATCCGACACAAACAAGACCATCACGCCACTGATTTTAATTTACCATAAGAATTCAACAATGCAGAACAAAACCTGCCTTGAATTCTCGAATTTCGATCAATATCGAATCAACAATTCTCCTCTCCACATCATAGCCATTTGACATATAGATACGAGCAGATAAACAGACAGCGGTGTGTCATGTGTGTATGTGTGAAAAAATGTAACGCTTTGGTGACGCGACGAATGAAATGTGAATGCTGAGAATTGAAAGAGGATTATGGGTATTTATTTAAGGGAAAATAAATAAATTGAATTTGAGAACTAAAATTTCGTGAATTACGGGGGATGTCATATCACGAGGGGAGTCGCTGTTTTTGTACAATTAAAAAGAAGGAAAATGCGTATAAGAGAAAACCGACAATGGAATTGGAATCTCACTCTGATTAACATAGCCCAGTGTTTCAGCAGTTGTCGTTCTTGTCAACTGACGGCGATTCCTCTCCGTTTGTCTTTTTTTCGGGTGCGGGACCAAATAAGTGTAGTCAACATACGAGTAAATTTAACTAATAATCACTTAACTTTACACTTGATTACTACTTGCTCACTCATCTTTCACATATTACTGAATGCTCACTCATCTTTTCATATAATTACTCATTCATCACTCGTCTCTTCAAATAATTGGGCGACTTTTATGGCAAATTTTCGACAACTTCCGACCACAAAAAATGTCGAATTTTGATACCGTTGGAAAGCCCACGATGTCCTCTTCAATTACCACCCAAAATCTCATTATAACTCCAAGGGATTCGATCGAAAAATTGCCTTAAAAGTTGCCCAAAATTTTTGAAAATCTGCCCAGATTTTCAGATTTTTTGACGACTTTTAAGGCAATTTTTCGGCAACTTTTGACCATCAAAACTATTGAATTTTGATACCATTGGAAAGCCCACAATGTCCTCTTCAATTACCATCCAAAATTTCCCCATAACTCCAAAGGGTTCGATCGGAATAAACCCACAAAATCAGCATCTTGAAAAGGCGAAAATTTGGACAAAGTTCGGGATGCTGACTTTGTGAGTTTATTCCGATCGAATCCTTTGGAGTTATCGGGAAATTTTGGATGGTAATTGAAGAGGACATCGTGGGCTTTCCAACGGTATCAAAATTCGACATTTTTTGTGGTCGAAAGTTGTCGAAAATTTGCCGTAAAAGTCGCCCAATTATTTGAAGAGACGAGTGATGAATGAGTAATTATATGAAAAGATGAGTGAGCATTCAGTAATATGTGAAAGATGAGTGAGCAAGTAGTAATCAAGTGTAAAGTTAAGTGATTATTGGTTAAATTTACTCGTCAACATACTTCGGTGTCTTTTTTATTTTTTTTAATCATCAATTTTTGGACCGTGCTACACGACCACATCGATTGAGACAAGAGTTGACACATCACACATACATGGGAGCTTGGTATTATTTTATTCGCGCGGGATCCACACCTCGACTGTGGGAGGTGTGTCAACCTTTGTGTCAAACAATACGGTTGAGTATCATTTTTCTTTTTTCATATGGACCAACTTTGTTGTCGATTTCATTTTTTTTAATACATTTTTTCCTTTAATTTGCTAGATTGATCATTGTAGGTGTATCAGCAGGCAAAATTAGTAGATCTTCCTCATTCTTCAGTTTCGGTGAATAAAATGAGTGTATATACCAATAGTAGTCCAATACTTAAATCAAAGAGAGATGATACGTGTACATTTTTTGTTTACAATCTTGAATATAACATGCTGAGTAGGCAATTTCTCATTGGCTGTTGCACAAAAAAAGAAAAAAAAATGTCATCAGTCAATGAGAAATTGTCAACTTAGTTTTATGTAAAGAAGAGTGTAAATAAAGGTGTACAAGTAGCTTTACACAAATCCAAATGGGAATACTTACGAGTATAATAGATATAGTTAGTTCAATCTCTATACGAGTGAGCCAATCGACAACGTTTCCTAATTTAAACCGTCGTCAATTATTACATAAAGAAAAGTTCTATATGTACACTTCATGTTGTACATAATGGATTACATCCCCTCACATAAAAGAGGAACACGAATATTTTATTATATGTGGGTCCTCCATGTGAGGATGTGTAATGATGTGTGTACATCATTGTATACACATACAATTTCCCTTAAATAAAATATTTTGATAAATTTATTTATGGACGAAAATATTGATGATAACAAGTGATGAATATTATTGATAATAATATGTAGGTAACAAAATAATCATTTTACGTTAATGATGGAGTTGTTCATTGATAGTTCTAAAAAAGATGTAAATTACCCATACAAATTTCTTCATTGACTAAAAAATAATATTATCTCTTATTAATATTAGAAAGTAAATTAATAAAATTAATTTGTCCACGGAATTTCATAAATAAATAACTAAAGTGATTAAAATGTAAAGTTAAATATTACTGAAGAAAAAATTATTAAGTAATGAAATTAAATAAATTAAAGCGGGGGAAAAACATAAATGAAATTATAAGTCACAGGAGAAATATCAAAAAATAAAAATAAAGTGAAGAAATAATAAATGTTTCTTCATCAGCAATCAACGATCAAAGTACCTTGAATATCGTTAATAGGGATGGGTGTTCGTCAAGTATTAATGTCAATATTATTATTGAAAATTTAGCCTGAATCATCGACAATCATCCAATTTTGTAAGTAGAATAACTGATTTTGTCGATGATCATTTTTTCATTGATTATTATTGAAAAAGACCCTCAAAGAGTTTTGTTAATGGTCTCATATTATTTGAGCCGCCTCTTATAAGAGAGTTATAATAATGAGCTCTTGTTTGAGCCTCATTATTTTATAAAAATGCATTTTTGAATAATGTATTGATGGAAAATGTATGGTTAAAAATAAGGAAAAATTTTGAATTTGCGTGTAATATTATTTTATTGAAAAATGTGTGATTTAAACGATGTCAAATTACTATTTAAGAATATATTTTTTTTAAATGTGGGTCAAGTAGAGCTTGAATATGCATGCATGATTATTACTCGGGTTCTTATGTGTTTATTGTTGTGCATAATAATGGATCGGTAAGACGATTTTTTGGGCTCAGTTTCTCCTTTTCGATCGATATCATAAACCAAAACAACCCAACACTTCTCCAACCTCTTTCCACTTACGGTTGTCGATATTCACACACTTAGGAGACTACAAAGATAGTAACCATGAAGGCAGTAGGGCGAGAGGGCAGAGAGAAGTCAAGAGGATCAGCCAGTTTTTCACATGCGATGAGGCCAAAGAAAAAGACCCATATATCCAAGTGAAATGGGCGTGTATGGTAAGTAGAAATTAGGGCATAGAATGGATCAAAAGTAGGCCAACACGTGATAAATGGGCTACCAAGTGAATTACCTCTGATTCACCGTCCAGGTCAGTGGAAATGGGCCATGAATGGCACTAAATAAACTAGGCTGCTTTAAATGACTCAATTAACTTTTAGATTGGGTCATTTCAATTATGGTGTCGATTTATCGTTAAGTTATTTGGTCGATGTTGACTGAGAACATAACTGAGTGACCATCATAACTTGAGAAGGTCGTTTGATAACAATTTGTCTAACAAACCTCCACCTTGGTCCCAAAGGACCTACAAAGAAAATAGTAACACGTGTTAGTAATATTTCCAATATACGGGAACGATAAAATTGGAAATTAGTTACCTTCATCGATGTTTAGAAGATTCTTACAACTCCTAAACTTTACCAATGGCAGCACATTTGTGCCCTTGTCCGAAAGATTGCACTGTGTATGTATCTTTTCAATTATTACCACTTCTTGTATCACGATGTTTTTAATGAAATGTAGTTTAATATCGATGTGTTTGGTGCGTTCGTGAAAAAAAAAGGGTTTTTACATAGGTGTATAGAGAATTAACTGTTTGAATATTACACCACATGATCATTTAGAACATGGAGTTCATGTAGCAAACATCTAAACTACAAAACTTCTTTAATTGCTTCGGTGATAACAATATATTCTGATTCAGTTGTGAATAGTGCAACTATGTATTGTAATTGTGACTTTCAATTAACGCAAGAGTTAGACAAAGTAAACATATATGAAGAAGTAGATTTTCTATTATCTCTATCCCTCGTACAATTCGCATCTACAAAGCCTTTTAATTTTACACCTTCTTTATTAACTGAAAACTTTATACCTACATTACTAGTTCACTTTAAATACCTTAACATCCATTTTAAGGTTCCTAGTGCTCAGGACCTAGATTAGACATATACCTACTAAGGGTACTAACTACAAAAGCTAAATCCGGTCTAATGTAAACCATCAAATACATAATAGATCTAATCACATTTGAATATGGAATCCTATTCATGTCTTCTATTTCTTTCTCATTACATGGTGCTTGGTCGATAGATAACACAAAATGATTAGCTAAAGTTGCAATGGCTTTGCACTCATTTATGTTAAATCTTTTTAACATATTTGAAATATATAAGGACTGATGCAAAAACAAAATAGAATTTGACCTATCTATTTCAATTTCCTTACTTAAGATTTTTTTTTCCTAGGTCTTTCGTGTCAAACTCACCATTCAACTTTGTTTTATATTACTTATCCATTTAAGTGATGAACCAACTAACAACATATCATCCGCATATATCAGTAAGAACACATAGTTGTTATTTGCATCATCATATTGGATATATGGACAGTGATCAAACTTACTCCTTTGAAAACCTACAGTGAGTATAAAATAATCAAATCTCTTATACCACTGTCTAGGTGGTTTCTTTAAGCCATATAAGGATCTTTTCAAGAAACATACATGATCAGATTTAGTTTATCTCTAAATTATTTAGATTGATTCATAAAGATTTGCTCATCAAATTCGCCATATAAAAATGCAGTTTTTACATCAAGTTGTTCGAGTTTCCAGTAAAAATGTGCAACTAATACAAGCATGACCCTTATAGTAGTATACTTAACAATAGGTGAAAAAAACTCATTATAATCAACACATTCCTTCTGTATGTATCATTTGGCCACTAACCTAACTTTAAATCTTAAGTGTTCAGATTCATTAACACCCTCCTTTACCTTAAAAACCCACTTACAATCAACTATAGATTTATTCTTAAGTCTAGGTATTAGTTCCCAAGTTTGATTCTTTTTTAAAGAGCTCATCGCCTTTTTCATTGCCTTAAACCACTATTCTGATTGTTCACTTCTCATATCTTCCTCAAAGATTTTTGGCTCTTTGTTAACTAGCTCCTCATAGCTAGTATGAGTGAAAACTAACTTGGACTCATATCCAAATCTTATAGGGGCTCTAGATTGTCTTCTATCTCTGTCCCTAGCTAAATTATAATATGCTAGAGGATTCTCTTTTTTAGG